ATCATCTTCCCGGTTTTCCCCTTTCCCTCTGTATTAGAAATGTTTATGGGGGGAAAAAAAGTGCCCAAAATTTGGAGAGGAGTGAGGAAAAATTCTTTTCCGCAGGGCAAGGGGGAAATTGGTAAATATGTTTGGGTTCCCAAAAAATGCCCCCCTGGGGTCCCAGATTTTTTTTTCCCACCCGGCAAAACCCACCACACAGACCCATTCTCTCACATCTAGGCTTATCAGCCTTTTCCTGCGAGATTTGAGGCCGCTAGAATTTATGCGTACTAGTACGTCAAAAACCCCTACGCGTAAGACGTACTAGTACGACCAAAACCCTCAAAGGGTTAAGGAAGCTGACGATGCCATGATGTCAGAGACAGGAGAGGCATTGCAAGGAAAGGTCAGAGGAACTACAAAGGTAACCATATAGGTCTGAGGGGGGGCAGGGAGTATGAACCTGGAGAGATGCGTCAGCTGGGGTAGAAGAGGCCTGCAGTGTAAAGGAGGCTGGAGGGTAATTATGGAGGAAGACAGGGGGGTAACAAAAGAAGAAGAGACTACATGAGGGAGAGGGTGAACCTCTACCTTCATGTGACAGCTGGAAAGAAGGTGAGAACGAGGCTCCGAGGTAGGAGATATATTTTGTGCAGGTGATGGATGAGAAGAAAGTGCAGGTCTGCGAGGTTTCATAGATTGCATAGATTGAGAAGCAAGCGAGTGAGATGAAGTAGGAGGAGGAAGTGGTGCGGAGATAGGAGTGTCAGGGGATAAAACTGCAAAAGAATTAGAAACTGGGGCAACCCCGGAAGACACAGATGCAGAGGGATTGAGAGGTGGGAGGACCGTTGAGGTTGGAGGTCTTCGGGCTACCCAAGCATACAGGACACGAGGGAGTTTACCTTGAAGGCGGAGCTGAGAGACAGCCATAGTGTAAGTGAAGCCCTCACGCTCCTTAAGATAACGGATCTCTCGTTCATTATGATAAACCTGGGAACAGCGTGAAAAGGAAGGACGAGGCTCCTTGCAATTAAGACAAGATGGGGGAAGACTACATGACGTATTGGAATGATCTGCTGCACCGCAGACCAGGCATTCCGCCGCAGATCTGTATTGTTTAGTGGGGTGTCCGAAATGCCAGCAATTACAGCATTGTTGGGGAGTGAGAACAACTTGAAGGACCTCAAGACGATGGCCCACAATAAAGACAGAGGACGGAAGCTCACGGCAGTCGAAGGTTAAACAAGCAATGTTACTAGGAAAGCACCTCCGCACAAAGCAGGCAGGATGTACGTAAATAACAAAAAGGCACAATACCGTGACTGGAACGATACACAAATAACCCGCACATAAAAGAGAGAAGCTTACGACGACGTTTCGGTCCGACTTGGACCATTGACAAAGTCACAGTGTGACTTTGTCAATGGTCCAAGTCGGACCGAAACGTCGTCGTAAGCTTCTCTCTTTTATGTGCGGGTTATTTGTGTATAGGATGTACGTATCTACCTTGAGGATAGGGAGGTTCTGAAGGGTTGCTCTAAAACATCCTCACCGCAAGACAAAAAATCACTCTGTACAACAGTCGTGGCAAGAGCACAGTACCACTGCAAGAATTAAGAGTAGCGTGCTTACAAACGGTGACTGGTATGTTATCTATCGAAGTGATGCAGGAGAGAGCATGAGCTTGCTCTGAATCGGGGATAGCAGTCTTACATCTACTGTGTCAGCAGACGTGTCAGCGGATGGGTTTATGAAGGATAAGGTAAACCCTAGAATTGATGAAGGAAAAAAGGCGAGTATAGTGCATTGAGGTATCTGTGGAGACAAAGATCATTATCCATGAGGGCAAAGAAGGGAATGTATGAGAGTACAGTATAGGGATACCAACATTCTTATATGGATGTGAAGCATGGGTCATAAATGCTGCAGACAGGAGGCGGCTGGAGGCATTGGAGATGTCGTGTCTAAGGGCAATGCGTGGAGTAAATATTATACAGAGAATTCGTAGTGTGGAAATTAGGTGTGGAGTTACTAAAAGTATTAGTCAGAAGGCTGAAGAGGGGCTGTTGAGGTGGTTTGATCATTTAGAAAGAATGGAGCAAAGCACAGTGGAACCTCAGTTTTCGTTTGCCCCCCGTTTTTGTCTATTTCGGTTATCGACGAATTTTTTCATCAAAATATTGTCTCCATTTTTGTTCCTCACCTCAGATCTCATCTACCATATCAAACGTGTCTGCCTGCCATGCACACACAGACTCCCACACATGGATTCTGAGTCAGTGTGGCATTGTTTCTCGGCGATTGAACATTACCCTGTGCGTTCCTATGAAACATTTCATAATACATAATCTATTGACTCGCGAAATCGTAATGACACGATTGCAAACAAACCATACCACGGGTGGGGTTTGAACCGGCGGTCAGTCTCAAAACTCCAGACCATCGCATTAGCTAATGCAACAGTCTGGAGTTTTGAGACTCTCTGACTGCGGGTTCAAACCCCACCTGTGGTATGTTTTGTTTACATAATCTATTGTTTTCTGTGCTTGTTTATTGTGTGACTGCTAAATAACCCACCATGGGGCCAAAGAAAGATCTGAGTGCCAGTCCTTTGATAAAGAAGGTGAGAAACACAATAGAATTCAAGAAAGAACTTGTTGAAAAGTACGAAAGTGGCATACATGTGGTAGATCTCGCCAGGATGTACAGAAAGTTCTCATCAACAATCAGTTCCATCCTGGCAAAGAAAAAAGAAATCAAGGAAGCTGATGTGGCGAAAGGGGTGAGTGTGCTAACAAAACAGAGATCGCAAACTGTCATGGAGTGAGGTGTAAAGGTTTGTGGAGAAATATCACCATAACAAAGCTGTTGCAGGCCATGCCTGCAACATGTTCATTAACAATGCTTTGTCCCATTTTGGGCAAATCTTAAAGACACACCAGAAACAGAGCTCTCTGGACAGATTTTATGGGAGGCAGGGGTACAGTGACTCTGAAGCTGGTCCTAGTGCCAGTTAAAGACAAAGAGGGAAGTAACCCTGGATAGAGACTTCATACCTGAAGTCCTTATGGAAGGGGATTCCCCTTCCAAACAATAACTTCTCTTTCCTCTCCTGTCCTCGCCATATTCCATACGCCAGCAAGAGTCTTCAACAATAGTAAGTGTAATGTTAAATGTTCATTTACCATTAAAATTAGTCATTTATATTTATTTCTCACTGTTTTCTGTATGTAAAACTTATTTATTCTCTATAAAATGTTTTTATATTATATTATATTATCACACCGGCCGATTCCCACCAAGGCAGGGTGGCCCGAAAAAGAAAAACTTTCACCATCATTCACTCCATCACTGTCTTGCCAGAAGGGTGCTTTACACTACAGTTTTTAAACTGCAACATTAACACCCCTCCTTCAGAGTGCAGGCACTGTACTTCCCATCTCCAGGACTCAAGTCCGGCCTGCCGGTTTCCCTGAATCCCTTCATAAATGTTACTTTGCTCACACTCCAACAGCACGTCAAGTATTAAAAACCATTTGTCTCCATTCACTCCTATCAAACACGCTCACGCATGCCTGCTGGAAGTCCAAGCCCCTCGCACACAAAACCTCCTTTACCCCTCCCTCCAACCCTTCCTAGGCCGACCCTACCCCGCCTTCCTTCCACTACAGACTGATACACTCTTGAAGTCATTCTGTTTCGCTCCATTCTCTCTACATGTCCGAACCACCTCAACAACCCTTCCTCAGCCCTCTGGACAACAGTTTTGGTAATCCCGCACCTCCTCCTAACTTCCAAACTACGAATTCTCTGCATTATATTCACACCACACATTGCCCTCAGACATGACATCTCCACTGCCTCCAGCCTTCTCCTCGCTGCAACATTCATCACCCACGCTTCACACCCATATAAGAGCGTTGGTAAAACTATACTCTCATACATTCCCCTCTTTGCCTCCAAGGACAAAGTTCTTTGTCTCCACAGACTCCTAAGTGCACCACTCACTCTTTTTCCCTCATCAATTCTATGATTCACCTCATCTTTCATAGACCCATCCGCTGACACGTCCACTCCCAAATATCTGAATACGTTCACCTCCTCCATACTCTCTCCCTCCAATCTGATATTCAATCTTTCATCACCTAATCTTTTTGTTATCCTCATAACCTTACTCTTTCCTGTATTCACCTTTAATTTCCTTCTTTTGCACACCCTACCAAATTCATCCACCAATCTCTGCAACTTCTCTTCAGAATCTCCCAAGAGCACAGTGTCATCAGCAAAGAGCAGCTGTGACAACTCCCACTTTGTGTGTGATTCTTTATCTTTTAACTCCACGCCTCTTGCCAAGACCCTCGCATTTACTTCTCTTACAATGTATTTTTTGTTAATCCTTTTAGGTGTCTGGAACGGATTAACTGGATTTACATTATTTCTTATGGGAAATATTGCTTCAGTTTTCGTCTGACTCTCTGGAACGGATTAAAAACAAAAACCAAGGTTCCACTGTAGAATGAATTGGAGAGTATATAAATCTGCTGGGGAAGGAAGGCAGGATAGTGGTCATACCTGAAAAGGTTGGAGGGAGGGGGTAAATGAGGTTTTGTGGGCGAGGGGCTTTGACTTCCAGGAAGTGTATGCAAGTGTGTTAGGAGTGAATGGAGATGAATGGTTTTTGGGACCAGACAGGCTGTTGGAGTGTGAAGGGATTCAGGGAAACTGGTTAGCTGGACTTGAGTCCTGGAAATGGGAAGTACGATGCCTGCACTTTAAGGACGGGTTTAGGATATTGGCAGTTTGGAGGGACGTCTAAACATTCGTATCTGAGCGCCTCTGCAAAGACAGTGATTATGTATGAGTGATGGTGAAAGTGTTGAATGATGATGATGAAGTTTTCCTTTCTTTTTGGGTTTTTTCTTTCTTTTTGGGTCACCCTGCTTCGGTGGGAGATGGCCGACATGTTGAAAAAAAAAATTTAAATACTGGTATTACATTCTTCCTGCTTTTATCTCCCAATGAGACAGCATGACCTGACAAAGAAGAAAATACTATCACTGTCACACATTCAGTTAATGCCATTACTGTACTTTTTTTACATACCAGCAAACTCGTTGAAATGATTGCCAATATCAAATGCTTGATAATTAGCTCCTCCATATTCATAGTCTATGAAACCCACTTTTTGGGATGCTTTATTCCAAATAACATTTGCCAGAAGGATGTCATTGTGTGAAAAGACCACTGGGCATCCAAGCCCTGTGAGGCAGGATTCCAATTCATCTATTTCCTTACTTAGTAAGGATTTATTATATCCACATTCATCTATTCTGAAACAAGATATAACCAGTTATTAAAAATGACTGATTGACAGAATATTAAGAGTAGAAAATTTATTAAACTAGGAAATGAAAATCAAGGAATATCATTAGTTTAAAAAACATTAAAGAAAATTGACAATACTAGAGAAAATAATAGCAAAATTGATACATTTTCATGAGAACACAGGAAAATGCTTAAACAAAATTTATATATAACTAATTTAATATTTTTTTTATTTTTTATTATCACACTGGCCAATTCCCACCAAGGCAGGGTGGCCCGAAAAAGAAAAACTTTCACCATCATTCACTCCATCACTGTCTTGCCAGAAGGGTGCTTTACACTACAGTTTTTAAACTGCAACATTAACACCCCTCCTTCAGAGTGCAGGCACTGTACTTCCCATCTCCATGACTCAAGTCTGGCCTGCTGGTTTCCCTGAATCCCTTCATAAATGTTACTTTGCTCACACTCCAGCAGCACATCAAGTATTAAAAACCATTTGTCTCCATTCACTCCTATCAAACAAGCTCACGCATGCCCGCTGGAAGTCCAAGCCCCTCGCACACAAATCCTCCTTTACCCCCTCCCTCCAACCTTTCCTAGGCCGACCCCTACCCTGCTTTCCTTCCACTACAGACTGATACACTCTTGAAGTCATTCTGTTTCACTCCATTCTTTCTACATGTCCAAACAACCTCAACAACCCTTCCTAAGCCCTCTGGACAACAGTTTTGGCAATCCCGCACCTCCTCCTAACTTCCAAACTACGAATTGTCTGCATTATATTCACACCACATATTGCCCTCAGACATGACATCTCCACTGCCTCCAGCCTTCTCCTCGCTGCAACATTCATCACCCATGCTTCACACCCATATAAGAGCGTTGGTAAAACTATACTCTCATACATTCTCCTCTTTGCCTCCAAGGACAAAGTTCTTTGTCTCAAAGACTCCTAAGTGCACCGCTCACCCTTTTCCCCTCATCAATTATATGATTCACCTCATCTTTCACAGACCATCCGCTGACACGTCCACTCCATAATATCTGAATACATTTACCTCCTCCATACTCTCTCCCTCCAAGCTGATATCCAATCTTTCATCACCTAATCTTTTCATCCTCATAACCTTACTCTTTCCAGTATTCACTTTTAATTTTCTTCTTTTACATACCCTATCAAATTCATCCACCAACCTCTGCAACTTCTCTTCAGAATCTCCCAAGAGCAGTGTCATCAGCAAAGAGCAACTGTGACAACTCCCACTTTATGTGTGATTCTTTATCTTTTAACTCCACGCCTCTTGCCAAGACCCTCGCATTTACTTCTCTTACAACCCCATCTATAAATATATTAAACAAACCACGGTGACATCACACATCCTTGTCTAAGGCCTACTTTTACTGGGAAATAATCTCCCTCTTTCCTACATACTCTAACTTGAGCCTCACTATCCTCGTAAAAACTCTTCACTGCTTTCAGTAACCTACCTCCTATACCATACACCTGCAACATCTGCCACATTGCCCCCTATCCACCCTGTCATACGCCTTTTCCAAATCCATAAATGCCACAAAAACATCTTTAGCCTTATCTCAATACTGTTCACTTATATGTTTCACTGTAAACACCTGGTCCACACACCCCCTACCTTTCCTAAAGCCTCCTTGTTCATCTGCTATCCTATTCTCAGTCTTACTTTAAATTCTTTCAATAATAACTCTACCATACACTTTACCAGGCATACTCAACAGACTTATCCCCCTATAATTTTTGCACTCTCGTTTGTCCCCTTTGCCTTTATACAAAGGAAACTATGCATGCTCTCTGCCAATCCCTAGGTACCTTACCCTCTTCCATACATTTATTAAATAATTGCACCAACCACTCCAAAACTATATCCCCACCTGCTTTTAACATTTCTATCTTTATCCCATCAATCCCGGCTGCCTTACCCCCTTTCATTTTACCTACTGCCTCACGAACTTCCCCCCACACTCACAACTGGCTCTTCCTCACTCCTACAAGATGTTATTCCTCCTTGCCTATACACGAAATCACAGCTTCCCTATCTTCATCATCATTTAACAATTCCTCAAAATATTCCCTCCATCTTCCCAATACCTCTAACTCTCCATTTAATAACTCTCCTCTCCTATTTTAACTGACAAATCCATTTGTTCTCTAGGCTTCCTTAACTTGTTAATCTCACTCCAAAACTTTTTCTTATTTTCAACAAAATTTGTTGATAGCATCTCACCCACTCTCTCATTTGCTCTCTCTTTTTACATTGCTTCACCACTCTCTTTAACCTCTCTCTTTTTCTCCATATTCTCTTCCCTCCTTGCATCACTTCTACTTTGTAAAAACCTCTCATATACTAACTTTTTCTCCCTTACTACTCTCTTTACATCATCATTCCACCAATCGCTTTCCCCTTCCCCCCCGCACCCACTTTCCTGTAACCACAAACTTCTGCTGAACACTCTAACACTACATTTTTTTAAAACCCACCCCATACCTCTTCGACCCCATTGCCTATGCTCTCATTAGCCCATCTATCCTCCAATAGCTGTTTATATCTTTCCCTAACTGCCTCCTTCACCTCTCTCTTCCCTGATGCTTCTATTCTCCTTGTATCCCATCTACCTTTTACTCTCAGTGTAGCTACAACTAGAAAGTGATCTGATATATCTGTGGCTCCTCTATAAACATGTACATCCTGAAGTCTACTCACCAGTCTTTTATCTACCAATACATAATCCAACAAACTACTGTCATTTTGCCCTACATCATATCTTGTATACTTATTTATCCTCTTTTTCTTAAAATATGTATTACCTATAACTAAACCCCTTTCTATGCAAAGTTCAATCAAAGGGCTCCCATTATCATTTACACCTGGCACCCCAAACTTACCTACCACACCCTCTCTAAAAGTTTCTCCTACTTTAGCATTCAGGTCCCCTACCACAATTACTCTCTCACTTAGTTCAAAGGCTCCTATACATTCACTTAACATCTCCAAAATCTCTCTCTCCTAGGCATTCCTCTCTTCTCCAGGTGCATACACGCTTATTATGACCCACTTCTCGCATCCAACCTTTACTTTAATCCACATAATTCTTGCATTTACACATTCATATTCTCTTTTCTCCTTCCATAACTGATCATTCAACATTACTGCTACCCTTCCTTTGCTCTAACTCTCTCAGATACTCCAGATTTAATCCATTTATTTCCCCCCACCGAAACTCCCCTACCCCCTTCAGCTTTGTTTCGCTTAGGGCCAGGACATCCAAATTCTTTTCATTCATAACATCAGCAATCATCTGTTTCTTGTCATCTGCACTACATCCACGCACATTCAAGCATCCCAGTTTTATAAAGTTTTTCTTCTTCTCTTTTTTAGTAAATGTCTACAGGAGAAGGGGTTACTAGCCCATTGCTCCCGGCATTTTAGACGCCTCATACGACACGCATGGCTTACGGAGGAAAGATTCTTTTCCACTTCCCCATGGACAATAGAAGAAATAAAGAAGAACAAGAGCTATGTGGAAAAAGGAGAAAAACCAAGATGTATGTATATATATATGCATGTGCATGTCTGTGAAGTGTGACCAAAGTGTAAGTTGGAGTAGCAAGATATCCCTGTTATCTAGCATGCTTATGAGACAGAAAAAGACACCAGCAATCCTACCATCATGCAAAACAGTTACAGGTTTCTGTTTCACAGTCATCTGGCAGGACGGTAGTACTTCCCTGGGTGGTTGCTGTACCATCGAGGGGGGTACTACCGTCCTGCCAAGTGAGTGTGAAACGAAAGCCTGTAATTGTTTTACATAATGCTAGGACTGCTGGTATCTTCTGTCTGTCTCATAAATATGCAAGATTACAGGTATGTCTTGCTACTTCTACTTACACTTAGGTCACACTACACATACATGTATGTGTTTATTTATACACACTCATCTGAGTTTTCTTTGATTTTATCTTAATAGTTCTTGGTCTTATTACTTTTCCTTTTATATCCATGGGGAAGTGGAATAAGAATCTTTCCTCCATAAGCCATGCGTGTTGTAAAAGTCAACTAAAATGCCGGGAACAATGGGGTAGTAACCCCTTTTCCTGTAATAATTACTAAAAAGATTAAGAAGAAAATTGTCAAAGTGGGAAGTCTGAATGTGCGTGGATGTTGTGCAAATGATAAGAAAGAGATGATTGTGGATGTTATGAATGAGAACAAGCTGGATGTCCTGGCTTTAAGTGAAACAAAGCTGAAGGGGGTGGGAGAATTTCAGTGGAGAGGAATAAATGGGATTAGGTAAGGGGTTTCAAATAGAGTTAGAGCTAAAGAAGGAGTAACAATAATGTTGAAGGATAAGCTATGGCAGGAAAAGAGGGACTATAAATGTATTAATTCAAGGATTATGTGGAGTAAAATAAAGGCTGGATGTGAAAAGTGGGTTATAGTAAGCATATATGCACCTGGAGAAGCGAGAAATGTAGAGGAGAGAGAAAGATTTTGGGAAATATTGAGTGAATGCCTGGGGAGTTTTGAACCAAGTGTGAGAGTAATGGTGGTTGGGGATTTTAATGCTAAAGTAAGCAAAAATGTTGTGGAGGGAGTAGTATGTATATTTGGGGTGCCAGGAGTAAATGAAAATGGGGAGCCTTTAATTGAGCTATGTGTAGAAAGAGGTTTGGTAATAAGTAATACATATTTTATGAAGAGGATAAATAAATATACAAGGTATGATATACCACGTAATGAAAGTAGTTTGTTAGATTATGTATTGGTGGATAAAAGGTTGATGGGTAGGCTCCAGGATGTACACGTTTATAGAGGGGCAACTGATATATCGGATCATTATTTAGTTGCAGCTACAGTTAGAGTAAGAGGTAGATAGGAAAAGAGGAAAATTGCAACAACAAGCAAGAGGGAGGTGAAAGTGTATAAACTAAGGGAGGAGGAAGTTCGGGTGAGATATAAGCAACTATTGG